ATGTATTAACTAAAATCGAATGAAGGATATTTCAACTATGATGATGATAACAGTTTGAGGTTTGGAAGGAAGGAGCACGCTTGGTGTTGTCACCAATAAAACAATTTTGGCCCGAATTCACAAACTAAGGAGGTTTGTCGACAGGCCTAAGTTTATTTGCGTCATATGAAGCGTTTCGATGCGTTTCAGACCAAGGTTCAGACAAACCTTGTTCTGAAACGCGTCGAAGCGCGCCATAGGCCTATGACGCACATAAGTTTGTCAACAAACCTCCTTTGTTTGTGAATTCGGCCTTTATGTATGTACATTTTTCTTTAAGATATCATAAACAATATAGATTGTGTAATACAATTCTTACTTAATAACATTTGCATACAGAAGTACGAGGAAATAGTGTTGAGTGATGCCGTCACATCCGATAAGCTTCAAAGAAATAGAGATATTACAAATAAGAATGGCTGGATTATGAAGGAGAAAAAAATACTCGTCTATATTTAACGGCTTTGAATTTATGTTATATGCGTTCTTGATATCTGATACAAGATGATAATAAAATAACTCCATTTTGGGGCTAAATATTCCAAATAGCCCACAACAACAGATAATGTTACTTTTATGCAAACTATCATAGCTTATGGCAGAAAGCACACTTGCCAAAATTTGAAACGGCGACCTGAAAAGGGCACCTTCGTCGAAAAGTGTCGGCGATACGGCCGTACCGTAATCGCGTGGAAATCCTAACGACTGTTGGATGGACAAACAGGACAACACCTAATACGTGTGTACCCGAAAACCCACGAACTCTCAATTCCATATAAAGTACAAGTAACAACTACGTTGAAGACTTGAGAAACTGAAATAGAAGAACTAAAGTAGAAGTTCTTTCATTGGACGAGTCAACCCTGTAAATTGAAACAAAAAAACAACACCACTACACAAACCACAAGATCAACAACAACAATTTTCGAAATGAAACAAAATACAATTCGAAAAGTTTGAATTCATATCATAAACTGGAATTCAAACATTGTAAGTTTGAAGGATTTTGAAAATATTTGCAGTAGGTTTTTTTTTCTTTGAAAAGAGGACATAATGGATAACAAGAATAAAAAGCAAACACCTCGATATTTAAGGAATATTATTCTATTTTGTCCGATCAATTCTTTTAAACTTATTTTAACAAATTGTCAAGGAAATGGAAATGAAATGATTTTTTTCTTAAGATTTGAGGCAGCTGGATATACGTTTTATACATGTTATAGAGAGCTTGTGAGCTTTTCCGTTAAATGCTAGTGAGGAAGAAAATCAAAGGAAAATGCTCTTTAAAAAAGAAGGCATATCAAATGCTGATGTAATATGACAAGAACTAGCTAAAATCTTTGGACCAAACGTTCATGACGCGTATTCGTATAGTCCCAAATACACATTTTTGTGTACAGTGAAACCTGACTTTCAGCACGACCGATTCAAATTATTGTGATGATTCAAAACCTCGCAGCGAAACACCCATACTAAGTGTGGCACATAATTGACCCCCTCCAATCGCTTCCAGTCATTTCTTTCACAATCCTCTCACAGGGCCTGAGCTCAGCATAGTATCTTTAACAAAATGACCGCTATCTTGTTACCCCTTTGTATACGCATTGTCCTTGCCTTTAGGTACTGCTACGGTTGAACAAAGACGCTAATGCAAAGATGTACTCTAAAAACGATCCCCCTGTGCCCAGTTGGAGTATACATTGGACAGTTCTGTCGATGGAAATGTGTCGAAGAGAAACGAAATGGGGGAAATTCCCCCCACCAACCTTGATATTGATGGAAACCTGAACTAAATGCTAAACGAGAAGAGGGAACATTTAACCAAAACTGGCGTCCCTTTGCTCAGGAAGGAGAGCTCGCACTTCAGAGTCTATCCCGCCATCCCTAAACAGAAAAGGATAAGAAGCAGGCCAGTCATATTGAAAAAGAAGTTTTTTTTTATGAATATGAGCTGCAATTTTGATAGCAACTATTCGAATTCCAGCGCGATCTAGATCTTTAACTCGATTGCAAGGACTTTCGGAGAAATCAACTTCCGGGAAATTCAATAGCCTCTTTCATCACCTTAATATGTAATATGCGAACTTTACATTAACGTATAACGTAATCCGGACATGATTGAAATGGTATATGCAATGTCGTATTGGTATTGCCCTTGATTTGATATGTGTAAAATAGTTCCGGTCGTGTTTTTCTACCAATTTTTTTTTAAAACAAAGTCATCAGAATGTATCCCATTTTCACTGCTGATGTTTTCAGTAACATGTATGGCGCAAAGGTATTGACTCCCCAAAAGAGTTTATATTTATCATGTAGAGGAAATGAGGGAAATTCTGGAGGATATAGGTCTCCAAATCGACTCACAGACAATTGCTGGTTCTATTTTATTAACTTCATATCAGGATAGACCAACCTGCACCCTCTACACAATGGTGCCACGGAATAAGGTCAGAACAAAATGGTACACAATTAAATCTACATGTACTATATAAAACACAGGAAAACGGGAGAATGGAGAACCTGTAATAGAAAAGAAGTGGGTGGGGTGCGGGTCAAGGGATGTTCCAAAGATTGTCAACATCGTGTCTTTACTCTTTTGTTTCTCCAGATGAATTAATTATTTTGGATATCACCAGCTGGCGCCTGTTTCGAACATAACAGCAACTGAAATTAATCGGACGTTTGATGTCTCTTTGAACCTCCTTTGTTATCGTTAGTTTCAGTGAAATGCAAATATAATCGATGACACAATTTTCATGGGGGTAAGAAAATTGACACCATTCTAAAGATGTGAAAAAATGTATGCACTGAATAGTTTATTAAGTGATGATCGATGTATCAAAACGCCTCTGCCGGGCTTGGAAAGGGTTTAAGGGTAGGTCGAATAGGATACGAGTTACGCTGCCGACCACGCCATTCCGTCCCACATTCTCTCTCTCTCTCTCTCTCTCTCTCTCTCTATCTATCTCTCTTTCTTTATATCTCTCTCTCCCTATCTCTCTCTCCCCTCCCTCTCTCTCTCTTCATCTTTATCTATCTCTCCCTCTCTCAATAAATATATATATATATATCCCTCTCTCTGTGTATGTCTGTGTGTGTCTGTGTGTGTTTCTCTCTCTCTCTCTCTCTCTCTCCCCCCCCCCCTCACATCATGACGGACATCGCCCCGCAACGCTCTTTCGTAATACAATCAATCAATACATCCCGGGTGAACCGCGTGCAGCCAAAAGAGATCGATAGCTGTAGCCCAAGACTCGAGGGACTACCGGCGACACACCAACCGCCCGCCTCCAACCCACTGGGGATCGCGGCCCCCTGCACCCACCGTGTGATATACTCCCCTCTCCCGACAGGAAACACAAAATTAAAGTGTCCGGTTTCACATCCCACCGTGAAACGTCAGGTGCTTTTTATTTTATTCCTCTCTATATATCGGGAAAATGGATGACGATGTCTTTGTTTAGATACAGTTGGCTTTCCTTGCATTATTTAGTTCGCCAATATTTCTTAGACCCCTCTCGCTGCGTCTAACAGATATACTCAATCAGTTGGGAGAGGTGACGAAAGCTTTGGCACACGGGGACGCTGCAATTTATAACCCGGATTCAAACTGGATAATTCCATGGCTATCCGTATTGCATCGCTGCCTTTATTAGCTTGTTTGTCTTTTGTATACTATTGCGTGTGAACTAGAATTCAAATATTGTTTTTGAAAACCAAAGCAACAACAGCAAAAACAACACACGGGGACAAATTAAACTCGTAGTTTGCCTAAATTTACAACAGTTTTCCGCCCCCAGTAGTTAGCCACTATACACTCTTTTACGGTTACAACAGTGCGCATGCGCAGACATGGACGCCATTTTAACGTACATTAATTTAAATGTGAATTAAAATGGCGCCCATTTAAATATGATGCGAGCCCACAGCGCAGGCAGTGACGCAACAATACATGCGCATCTGAAACATTGATGACGCAATGTTTACGAACAAAATAAAATGGCGGCCTTAACCTTGAAAGGGTGTATTAGCCAAAATTTGTATGAAACGCCATGTGTTAAATTTGAAATTACATATTAAATGAAGGAAAAACATAAAGGCGTCGTAAATTTCACAACATAGGCCTACTGATCTCATATATAAATCTTCGTTTCATTAATGATAAACTTGTACTGAATAATACATCTCATTGTTGGCGATTCATAGTTTTATCCAAGGAATTGTCACAAAGCTCTGTTATCGGTAATAACTCCTTTGTGTAGGGCCCCATAGCAGTCTTCTTTCATAAATACGGGCCTGCATAATTGAGTTATAGGAAACTTGAGATATTTTCCAGGATTATATTAATATATATGACATATGTCATTTCCGTCTAGGCAGTAATCAAGTGGTATTTGGGTACTCAGTTTTGACGACTTTCTCCGCTGAGAATCCCTGTTGGCACTTGTTATCTTCAATCTAATTGCATTCTAGACAGACAACAACAATGAGGAGGGTGGGCTAGGCAGTGTTTGAGGGGGGGGGGGCAAGGGTGGAGCGTATTAATAACATCCTTGATAGCGCAATAGATCCTTCCTTTTCTTGCTAAAAATCGTCATCGAGATCAGATCGGATGTTATCCGTCTCTTTTGTCTCGACATTGTTTACGCTGGAGAATATCAACAGAATCGATTGCAATACCGAGAAGTTTGAAATTTGCGGATGGACATCGGCAGTGTAATTGCATAATGCTGAGCAGACAGGGGCCCCGTCTTATAAACAGTTGATATTAATCGCAACTATGTACATAATATATAGGAGACTGCAAACTTGCGATTGACTGGAGGACTTACGATTGATTTGGACCAATCGCAACTCTTTGTAAGACAGGGCCCGGGACTACAACACTCATCTTATCGATGACCCAAGCCTTGCGGTTCAATTTCAAAGTTCTTTACTTTTCTCTCGCTCTCTCACATGCAGCCTGTGTCCGGTGATGCTATCCCGACAACCATGAGGGACCTGAATCCACCGGCCAGCCCGGCCACACCTAGCAACGAGACTACATCACTGTCGGTATCTGATGATGACATCATCCATGGCTTCAAGAAGTTATTGTGCGAGATGGATCACCTCAATAAAACGCAAATACTGGAAAACAGTGGAGGTATTTATCTTTTTTTTTTTTTTCATACAGGACTGGGATCTGTATGCGTGTACTTTTTTCACGATTACAAGTTTTGAATAACTGTGTGTTAATTAGTTTTAGCGACCACGTCACAAGTTCTCTGAAAGATCATATTTCCAATGTTACAATTACTCTTTAAATATTCCATCGTTTTCTTTAACAGCCAAATATTGCAGTTACACCGTTTAAATGCAAAGCTAAAGCGATCATTACATTAGTCATATTTCATTAATTACATATTAAAGTTTCATTATTTTTCACATTTCACTTTAGAAAATTCAACCTTTTATAAAAAATAAATAAAAAAAACCTACTTGTGATTCACTTCTTGAACTTTACAAACATTTTTATAACATATTACGTAATCCTAAATTGGTTTCTATGGGATATACAGTAGAGTATTGATATTGACCTTGAGTTGATTTTTCGAAGATATTTTGCAATCATGTATTTTGTTCAAGCCCCCGGCCCCTTCCCCCCCCCCTCCCCTCCCCCGCCCTCTCCATCAAGTCAAAGTAGGTGGCTTATATGAAGCTGTTAGTATTATTCAAAATAATCAAACGCGTGTCTGGTCGCCTTTATTTTGTGAGTCTCTTTCGGAAAGAGACAGGAAAGAAGTGTTTCTCAATCCACGTGTCATCTGGGAAATCCAATAGTCACCATCCTTAAGGCACACGCCATTCCCTGGTGCCTAGATCTTCGTTCAGACTTACAAAAATATTCGTATTACCATACGTATACCGTAAATATATAATATGAGTATTATTTCTTCTAGTCTGAACGCCGTGTACCGAAACGTCGTATAACGCCACGCGATTAAGCAAAACGCATGTTTAGCATCGTCTAACGAAAATTCGATAAAGAATCAGAGGCCCGTTCTCGTCTAAACGTCGTATCGTACACAAATCGTGTGAAAATCGTACTAAATTCGTACGGAAATGTTTTTTACTAAAGGCAGGGCTTGTCGTGAGCGACTACTAATAACTGGTCAGCTATCATGTCAACTGTTCTCTTCAAAACTAGTTTCTTTAAACCACATTGTGATCCAGTCTTTACAACCATTTCATTTTCTATGTTTCTTTGTACATGTATTATAGTACGACGTTTCTTTATACGATGTTTCTGTATACGACGTTTCGTTATACGCTGTTTCTTTAATGATACGACGTTTCTTTAAAAGAATGCGAGTTTCGTAATCGTTTCCTCTGGTCTGAACGAACTTTAAGAAGGAACTCTTAAAAAATTCATAAATATCTATTCTGATGGATTAAGGGTAAATCTCTCGTACTTTGCAGGGAACATTTCGCGAAAATCTGCCTGGAAGTTATTCTGAATTGTTGATTGTGCGGGAAAACATAATATTCATATCCGACGCCAACGGGGCCTTTAGGTAAAGTACAAGATAAAATGAACGGAAGCTTACCAATGTTTACTGAAAAATTGTGTACACCTTAAGGCAGCAATAATGGTGGATGAAGGAAAATCATATATGAAACTTGTTGTTTCTGATTGTAATTAATATGGGCTTAAAGTATGGTACAATTTATATCAAAAATGATCATCATGCAATACAAACAGCCAAGGGTGCGATTGTCATTATCGTCCTATTACAATTCGAATAAATTTAAAAGTCGGTTCTTTTAAATCCCTTTACAGGCGCGGATCCAGGATTTTCCAATAGGGGGGGGGGGGGCGGAAATTTGAAAATTGCGCATACCGTTTTTTCAACTCAACATAACAATACTGACAAGGTCATATTAGAAGCAACATACCGGTAATTTTTTTTTGACATTTTCATCGAGGGGGGGGGGGGGGGGGGGGGGCTATAGCCTCTCGCCCGAAAAGTAATTTTCTGGTTTCACAATTCGGCTCGTGAGCGAAGCGATCGAGCAAAATTTTGAGCATATGTATTCTGTGAAAGCGTTATTTATTACCAGCAAAAAACGAGAAAATATATCGAAAATTCCTATTCGGGCAGCTCGCTGCCCCCCCCCCCCCCCCATTACGCGCGAAGCGCAGAAGCTTTGATGTTTCATGAAATTATTAGAGAAAGGAGAGGATTCGTTGTACCATTCTCGACTCTTACTCCTTGTTTGAATTCAGTTCCCCCCCCCCCTCCCGCGCGAAGCGCCGAAGCTTTGACCTTTCATTAATTATTAGAGAAAGAAGACGATTTTTTTGTTGGTACCATTCTCGACTCTTATTCCTTGTCTGAATTCAGTTCCCCCCCCCCCCCCATTACGCGCGAATCGCAGAAGCTTTGATGTTTCATAAAATTATTAGAGAAAGAAGACGATTCGTTGTACCATTCTCGACTCTTAATCCTTGTCTGAATTCAGTTTCGGCCCCCTTCCAAGCGAACCGCGGAAGCTTTGACATTTCATTTAATTATTAGAGAAAGAAGACGATTCGTTGTACCGTTCTCGACTTGTCAGAATTTCAAAAATGTTTCCTTGACTGCTCCTTTTTCGTCCTATGTCCTCTTACTGCCCCTACCACCCTTGGCTACGCGCCTGCTTTAAAGGGAAAATGAAACAATCACGATTGTAATAGCACACAATTAGGTCAGTAGAAATGAACGGGAAAAAAAGAAAGATCTATTACACCAACCATGGATAAATCACGCCCGGGAGCGTCAGATCATAGTTTTTTGTTATCGGGCGAGGGCCGGGGAGTAGCGGCCAAGCGAGATTTTGCAATGTTGAATGCTGAAATTATGCATTCTAGAAAATCCCTAAGCCCAATATGTACGTTCTTTCCGCTATATTTCTTTCGAGCTATATTTCTAAATTTCCGGGGGACGTGTCCCCCTATCGGGCCAGGATTGCCGCCCCTGTCCATGATTACTACGAACATGAGTTCAAATACAAGAACAAGCTAGTCAGTATGAGCTAAATTTAAATGAAGGGCAAAATAAGAGTTGTAAAGCCGTTATTTTCAAATTATATGAGTATATAGCTTCTATTTAAAAGACATCCAAAATATGGTGCCCTTTTCAAATTGCTCACTAAAGAGTGATGACCTTTGTAGCGCAGGGGATGTTCTTAACGTTTAACTTTGAATCCGCGGCTCGAGATTTTATGCGGCCGGCCCGACCCCCTCTATTCATGAACGTTTGTCAAGCCTTCTGGAATGACCCCAAATCTCCCGATTACAGTTTTCCCTTATTCGTCGTTAGTGTCACTTAGCGCAATTTCCTTTTCTTTCCCCCTTTCTCACCCGACTTTTCTCTTCCCCCATTTTTGTGTATTACGGGCCGGACTTTGTTGGGAGATTTTGGGAACACAAATTCGGTCCATCCGACCCCGGAGTGGGAGAGAAGGGGGGGGGGGCGTTCTTCGTGTTATTTTCTACTTTTTTTTTCTCTCTCTCTCTGTTTCTTTTCTCTTCTTTCTTTTTTTTCTCTTCTCCTTTTTTTTTCTTCTCTTCTCCTTTTTTTCTTCTCTTCTCCTTTTTTTCTTCTCTTCTCCTTTCTTTTTTTCCCTCTTCTTTTCTTCCTCTTTTTTCCTTTTTTTGAGCCGCCAATAGGGGGGCCGCGGCCGTTTCGGCCCCCCTGGATCCGCCACTGCTTTACAGACCATTTATGATAACTTTTAAGTAACAAAAACATATAAATAAGCTTCTAACCAAAAATGTAAGTCTTATTCTACATCTGATTTGGTTTAGACAACGTATAGAAGTATGAATATTTTACTATTTCTTTTTGCTTGACGGAAAAAACATGTAGATATTTAAAGATTTTTTTTAAGCATTTTGATACGTTGCACATAAATACAATTGTTCAGCCAAAGATACATGTATAACATCTTTGAATGGTGAAACAGAACTAGTTTTACAAAGCACTTTACATTATCCTTTCATGAATTTCCGAGATTTTCGTTTTTATCCATTTATTCGCGTCCGAATGTTACTTTTTGCTTCCCGAAAACTTTCCTGTTGAATTAAAGCTATCACAACAAAAATCACACATGTAATCAGTAATTCACAAGTTTTATCGTACTCTTCTTTGCGGTTATCTATCACTCACACAAATTAACAAGACCCTGATCAATGAAACCAGCACCTGTCCAACAACGTTTAATAGACAGGCGTAGAGAAACGTTTGAGCTCGATTTTGGACAATGAAAAGTGGGAGATCCCAATTTACTATATTCGCGGTTTTATCACAAAATATGACTTTTTTGTTGATTTCCCCCGGCGCATAGTAGCCATGTCCATCTATCGTGAAATCAAATCTTTAGCATCTCAAAAAGCGCGGTAAAAGCAGATTGGGCCTGGGGTGGTCGAGACAAGCGAGAAGAGGATGAGGGTGGAAAGGGGATGTGGGGATGCGCGGTGTCATCCCTCCTTGTGTTTGATCCATACTTAAAGTCCTATCCGAGGGGCTTAAAAGGATTTGATGGATCGAGGCTAGAGGCTATAAAAACTCAAGATGGGAGAGGATGAGGGTAAAGGGGAGTGTGGGTAGGAGCGGTGTAATCCCTCCTTGTATATGATCCATATTTCGAGTCCTATCCGAGGGGTCGTTATGATTTGATGCGCCTAGGGTGATCCAAACAGGAGCACGATGGAGTTGACTGAAAAGTTATCTATTTATTTATAAGTAAATCAGGTAAATTGTTTATAGAGCAGCGACTTTGTTTTAAACCAGAATTCCTTCGGTTCCAGAAATAAATGTGCAACTGGGTAATATCATATGTAGCTATTAATAGTAAATTTGCTTTCATTTTGTTAAATATATGCGCAATGTGCTTGTAAACCAATTTTTACGAATCAGAATGGAAAGTAAATATTATTTTAAAGAAAGAAATATCTCCAACATCACTGTTACCCCTTCCCTTCAAAGTTCTCCGCCTTGCTACTCCCTCCCCATCCCGTCGTGTTTAAACATCATCCTGTCACTCGATTCCGGGCTTTCGACGTGGATCGAGGGAGGGATTCGTCCAAATTCAATCAGATAATTCCTAACCGAAGAACGTCTCCCGAGCGTTACAAAAAAATATAGGATTACACCAGCTGTGACCCGCAACGAATGACGAGGATTATATGTATACGTTAATTTGACAGATAGCTCGCTTGTGGATTTATTTTTTTAAATGAATAATATTTATTCGAAACTATTAAGGTTTAAGAGAAAGGGTAGATTTGGAAGACTGTGTCTTGCCACGCCATGTGAAACTTTAATTTGATTCAATTCTCAGACTCTGGAATAAATTCATGAATAATATTTTAAGCACAATCTGCGAGTTTTACGTGGAAGAGTCCCGAGCGCCGCATTAAAAAAACATTGATCGCTCAAATGTCCACTATTTTTGTTCATAAATTCATATTTTATTATTTTGTACATAACTTATATCAGAACTATATACAGCATTTCTAATCTGCTGAAACTCTTATTTTGATAAACCACAAAATTAACTTTTTCCATCAGTAAATTAACAAAACGTTCAAATAACGTAAGTAAACACACAAATAGCACGTTAAAGGGATAGTAGAGTTCTGTTTTCAGATCACAAATGCCTTCACAGTGCATGGCTATTGCTCTTATTCTTATCTATGACATTTCTAGTGCTCTTTTACGACCTACAATTGCTATGAAGGTAATTTTAGACCCCAAAATGTGTGAAATTTAGCTAATATGATCATACCAATTCAGCTCCACTTTCCAAAAAATACAGTGACCGTTAATTAACGAATTAGTTAATAATAACAATACATGGGCCGGTTGGTTGTGCGTAATAAGACCAACACGAAAAAGCCACCAAAAAAAAAACCAGCATCGGCATTGGCTGAAATACAACGTAAAAGGCGCTATTTTGTTTTTCCAACTGCTTTCAACGGCTGGTTCAAATCATATAATATTTGTGGTGGTACACAAGTATTATAAATCGTTCTATTTATGCCTCAATTCCATGACCACCCCCAAGTGAATTTATAAAAATTTGATAAATACATATATAGATAAATGAAATAAATAAATAAATATTGTAAATACATGATGACTAGGTTCAGTGGATTTTACGGACATAGTGAAACCCTCACATACGATAGCAAAGACTCGAAAAATAGTCGTGTCTATCACCTGTATAATATGTGCGAACATTTGGAGGGTTGAAATTAACCGTAGGGTTGATTTTTGACAGTCTTTGATATTGTTAAAGAGAAGGTTGAGTTCCGGGAAGACATGAAAAATAAATTTGTGAGCGTTATCATTGTTATTATGCAAGTGTGGAAGAACATCAGATAAAAAAGCATGGCTCTTCAAATGCCTTAATATTCTAAATATGGCGTGTAACAGCATACAAACCTGGTCTGAGTTTTATGCCACATGTTCGTGTAGTCCCATATACATATTTTTTGATCGATTCCAAAACGTTTCTTTCACAATGCAATCGCATGACCATAACTCCTATTTATCTTTAGGTATGCATGTTCTCATTTTTCATACATACTGATTACAACGAATTGCAAGGTTCTGTGCATGCAAAATCGACTGTTATTCCGGGCATTGAACCACGAATGAGTTTTCCCCTATCAGTGATATGTCAAATATGTCAGAATCTGCGGAAAGAATTTTCTCAACAAACAAAAATTGGAGAAAAAAAATAGAATTCCAAACAAACACTATCCCGTAACACTCTCGATGATTAAGAGATTGCCGTTAGGTGCATGCTTTCTGACAAATCTGAAGGTGCTAGACAAATTATGCGTTTTCTTCGTTCAACAAATTAAATTCTTAGAAAATGCAAGCGCAAAACAAATATAATTCCTCTGTGAAAGGGAGATTCCCTCTTCTTTTCCTAAGACACACGGGTAAAGATTTCTTTGGGAAAGGAAATATTCGCAAATAAAACTGGAAAGACTCTTGTGTTCCAAATGGCATTGCATCGTTCAAATTACGAATAAAATGTCACACATTCATCTTTCCTGAAGATGTTGAACTACGAATGTGATTCCCCCTATCCATCAGGCACCAACGTCAACAATCAAATGTTGAGATGTAGAGGAAAGAGGAGAATGAGAACGTACAAACAACATAAATTTCTCCGAAACACCCTCTTTAATTACGAGCTTGTCGTTAGGAGCACCTTCCATGACTGATTAAAACGTGCCAAGTGGATTTAAATGACAAATTAAGTTTCGATAAATCAAAGCAAAGCAACGAATAGTATCGTTATGAGTGCGCAAACACATTCCCTACTGATTAAGAATATGTGTTTTGTTTGTTTGTCTGTGACTTTATTTCTACTCATTTTACTCACTTCGGAATAAATGATAGTAATAGGAACATGACAGCGATTGTTAGAGACTTGTATGGATAGTGCCATGTTTAAAACGCAAAATGAATGATTATAAATGGAAAGTATGATACCCACTGTATGTCAAAATGATGTATGAGGGAGAGACTTGTTGAATACATTTAAGATTACCTCATAAACCACTGTATCTATGTCTTTGTCATGACAATATCGCCTCCTGCGTCTCTCTCTCTCTCTATCTCTCTCTTCTCACTCTCTCACGCACACGCATACACACACACGCACACACACACACACACACATTCTATTTGTTGTTCTCTCTCTCCCCTCCATTCTCTCTACCACTTTGTCCCCTCCTCTATCTTCAGCGAAAGTGCGTTGCACTGTGTAGATAGTATATCTACACAGTGCAACGAACTTTTCTTCTCCCATCAATGATGGGCGAACTATCTTTCATCACGTGATTTACTTTTGACCAATCGTAGAGCCAGATTCTTAGTATGTGGAATATTTATCTACATGATGCTTTTCGTTCTCTTTCATTCTTTATCTCTCTCTCACTGTCCTCCCTTATAGTGCCCTACTGCAACGCCTCGCACGATAGGCTGACGTGCTGGCCGCCAACAGAAGCTGGTCAGAACGTGAGCATGGATTGCCCTCCAGGTGCATTGCGTAAGTATCGGTAGTAAAACCATATGGCGGTGGTGTGGAGTAGTAGTAGTAGTAGAAGTGGTAGTACAAGTAGAAGTAGAAATGGTAGTCGTGGTAGTAGTAGTAGTAGTAGTAGTAGTAGTAGTAGTAGTAGTAGTAGTAGTAGTAGTAGTAATAGTAGTAGTAGTAGAAGTGGTGGAAGTAGTAGTAGTAGTAGTAGTAGTAGTAGTAGTAGTAGTAGTAGTAGTAGTAATAGTAGTAGTAGTAGTAGTAGTAGTAGTAGTAGTAGTAGTAGTAGTAGTAGTAGTATAAATAGCAGAAGAAGTCGAAGTAGTAGTAGTAGTAGTAGAAGTAGTAGTAGTAGTAATATGTGCAGTAGTAGTATTAGAAAGGGTAGTAGTCGTCGTCGTCGTCGTCGTCGTAGTAGTAGTAGTAGTAGTGGAAGTAATAGTAGTAGTAGTAGTAGTAGTAGTAGTAGTAGTCGCATTCGTTCAACCAATACATCAGTTTATAGTTTCCACTGCTCTTTGTCCGACTGTGTTTCAAAGCTATTGATAAGAGAGAGAGAGAGAGAGAGAGAGAGAGAGAGAGAGAGAAACAAAGAGAGAGAGGGGAGAGAGAGAGAGACGGAGAGATAGACAGACAAACATACGCGGATGAGTGTGGGGAGGAGAAGTAAGGAATTTCGAGGTAAGAAAGTTTGTGATAGTGAGTGAAATGCCCTTCATGTCAAGTGCATGTAACGATTACTCGTGACAAGTGCGATGCAGAGTAGATACCAGGAAGCCTCTCACCTCCGTGTATAAAATTCGCTAAATATCGAACGCCTGGAGCGCTGGAGATCACCTGATCTTGTCATGTGACATCCCTGGGAGAATTTCTCCTTCTCAGGCCATGGGGGAGGTGTAGCTTTACATATTTTGTATGTACAACAAAAAAGTGGAGAAAGAAAGAGTAAAAAGACGGAGGGAGAAAGGGACAGAAGTTATAAAGAGAGAGAGAGAGAGAGAGAAAGAGGAAGAGAGAGAGAGAGAGAGAGAGAGGGGGGAATGGTAGTGACAATTCGTTATATGTGTGAAAACGCATATTTTTGTATATTAAAGCAGAATGAATAAATTTGAAGAAGGACAAAATAATTAGGCCTATACAACAAAATAATAACAACGAAATAGCAATAGTAATCGATGAACTTAAAAACAAACATCTAGATAACATTTCCTACCATATCGTTTGGTTGATAATGCACTAATAGTTATAGTGACTGTTCAAAAACATTCCGACTGGAAATTATTGTACCATTATTTCAGAAACTGTGTTGCCCGATGTATTGTATCTTGTTTCCCACAATACAAATCCATCCTTAATGTAATCATGACCTCATGTAATTTCACAACAGCTTATCAAACGATATGAACCATTACTAATAACATTATGATGATTCGCCTTTCAAGGACTAATATCAAAATAACGCTTTGTTCCATTCACACATAATGCATTCAACGTGACTGTGTGATGAATACTTTATTAGGCTTCATTATGTTGACAAAGCCTGATCTAAATTAATTGATAATCCACAATTACATCATGACACTAAATCAAATTGGTTAACGGCATGATATCGAACAGTCCTATTCAAACTGCATTACGGAGTTAAAAATTGAAAATCCCTTGTGTACTCATAATTATTTCAGACTTCACGAGTCAACAAAAGTGCGTTATAATTACGTCCCTGCCGAATATACCAAATGTTAATGCCTGCACCGTTGTGTATGAGGTGAGAGGCCAGGTGGAATCCGATATCACGGGCCTCGTCTGGAGGAAATTAAAGCTCAATCAGACACAAAGAGTTTAATGAAGAGAGGTTATTGATTTGTCTATGGTGGTGTGCTGCGAGACACCGCTATGGCCGGGGTCAGGTTCATGCCTCAGTCGCAAGACGAAACCGATCTCAATCCGACTCCAAATAGATTGATTCGGCTCCAAATTGTAAATAAATAAAATGTAATTCTTGTTAAGTCTGTTGTTGGTCTGGGGCCTGTTTCATAAAACCTGCCATCTATAACAAATGCTTAATTTCAATGATTAATTTGCTCTCAGCCAATCAGATGCCTTGATTTCAGTAGCTTATAACAGTAGCTTGTAACTTGTTATTGATATCAAGTTTTGTGAAACAGGGTCCTGGTGTCGGTCTTTGAGGTGTGACAGGGGTCACGTTTTATAGAAAGGTCGGGTTTCAATGACATCTGATTGGTTTTCTTACTCGCCGCGGAAATTCTTTCTCTCATTACCCGTCCCAATGATAACCTCTGAAGTCGTCAAAACCTCGTCACACCTTCCTCTTGTACATTTTTATTTTGTTTATTTTATCTGTTATTTAGTTGTTGTTTTTTTCTACTTGTATTCTATTTGTATTTTTGTGTTGCTGTGCTGTGTTCCCGTGCAGTCTATTTATCTTGATATTTCGTATTGTTTCTTGGTCAAGTTTTGCTTCGTATTCATCATTATCTTCTATTCGTTCCCAATAAACAGAACACCAAAAAGTAACCTCTTTTGGGAGTGTATTTTAAGTGATTTTAAAGTATAATGCCTTTTGAACTAGATTTAAACGTTATCGACACGTGCCTTCATTTAAACAAAAAAGGTACTCCTGTTCACGTTTTCATCTAACCTAAAAACCACCAGTTTATCACGCGACTGGAGTAGCGTGATTCCACTTACCTCTGTAAATCAAGTGTTTATGACCAAATAACCACTTGACCAAGCAACGAGTTTTTTGTCAGTTAACCGATGGTGGCGATAAATACGTAATTATTTGGTCTTGTAAGCACCTTTATTGATTGGTTTCACAGGTTATCCAAGGTTGATGGTAATAATCACGTTGCTTACACCGGCTAATCGTCTTATTGTTCTGTCCGTGAATCTCTGGTTATATTCAACTAGTAATTCTGAGGTGTCTTACATACCTCTTTAAAAGGTTTCAAAGTTACCATAAATTTCTTGGTTATGATCACGTGGCTCAAGCTGATTACTAATCTAAGCTGTGAAAACGTGATATGTAGGTGTGAAAATTAGTAATTATTAAGTGTTTTAAAACACCTTTTTAAATGGTAGTCAAAGTTGCCATAAGTTCCTCGGTGATGATCTCGTGACTCTAACGGATTATTGATCTAAGCTTGTCATACGTGACTTTTAGGTGTGAAAAATTAGTCATTATTAGGTGTCTTAAAACACCTATTTAAATGGTTTCAAAGTTACCATAACTTTCTTGGTAATGATCACGTAGTTAAAACTGATTACTAATCTGAGCTGTGAATCCGTGATATTTAGGTGTGAAAAATTAGTCATTATTAGGTGTAATAAAACAGCTATTTAAATGGAAGTCAAAGTTGCCATAAGTTCCGCGGTGATGATCTCGTGACTCAAACGGATTATTAATCTAAGCTGGGCATACGTGACTTTTAGGTGTGAAAAATTAGTCATGATTAGGTGTCTTAAAACACCTATTTAAATCGTAGTCAAAGTTGCCAGCAGTTCCGCGGTGATGATCGCGTGACTCAAACGGATTATTAATATAAGCTGGGTTTTCCGTGTTTTCCATGAGTGAAAATGAGTTATTCTTGGGTGTCTTGATGGTTTCACAGTTACCATTTAAGTTCCGTGGTGATAATCCCGTGACTGTTGGCATATTTCTATGTTCACCAGTTGATAACTGACTGTTGGCATATTTTCATTGCACCAGTTGATAACTGGAGTGTGCATATTTCCAGTTGCACTAGTTGATGACTGAGCATTGGCATATTTCGAGTTGACCCAGCTGACACCAATTCATTTGCATATTGAATATGGGGTGCGTGCAGATCTATGTTTTTTAAACAATTTATCTGAATTTACAGCATACTTCTTAATTACTGATGATTTAGTTATATGCAATTTATTTCGAAAATACTACAAATATAAATTACCAGTTATTAGGACATTTCGCTACTTCGTATAAATAGTTAAACATGAATAAGGGAAACATTAACTGTGAACTAAAATAATTTCAATAAAGTACAAGTATACGATTTTGTTTCGTTTAATTCAATTATGTAAGTCTACTTATTACCAATGCCCTTACATTGGAAATACAGACGTACCAGTATTGAAGTATTGTTGCTGTTCAACTGGTTGGAAGTTTTACCAAATGGTTCTAATGGCTCAGCTAGACCAGTTGAACTATAACTGGCCTGGATCAACTGGATCATTTAGCCCATTTCAATTTCCAGGGTTACCAGTTGGCATTAAATGGTTCATCAATTGGACCAGTTGCAACTAGCTTTCTCTTCTGGGATGTTTGCACCCCCCCCCCCCCCACCCACCCAACCCCCTCTAATCCCAAACTGCTTCCGGCGCGCCTGGACGTAATTATGGAAGATCCAAGACACGATGTTCAGAAACGGGATGAGAACGTCATTATTTTGGTTCATTTATTGAGTAACATTTGCGTAATTATTGGGTTTAACGCGGGTTACAGTAACATACTTCCTCTTCGACGTAAATTTCACGTGAATGAAGAACATGATTCATCTCAAGTCAGCCTCGTAATATTCACGTGAATTTCACGCAGATATTTTGACTAAAACTATCACTAACGCTTCACGTGTTTCTGTGACGCGATAATTTCGTGTATGAAGATGTAATTTCATAACCAAACAAACACGGGAGTATTAGGTTTACAAACCATGGTCTCCAAGGTAGGGATAATCACGTTATTATAATGGTGATATTGCAGTGACAATTGCGTGATTTAGTGTACGTGTGTTTTAAGTTACCTAATGCAAAAAACGTATTAACACATTTACGTAAATGTCCGGTGTTTGAAGAACGTAACTCTCCTCAAGTCGATACCTTGATATTGACGTGATTTTCACGTGATTTTGTTTATTGGGTTATCCAAATCTGAATAATGATATCCTTCTCATTCTCCCTCTTTTTCCTGCTTTTCTCTTTCTATCCTATGGTTCTTCGTTTATATCTTAGAG